TATAATCTTAAGAATGAAAACAAGAGTTGGTGGTATAGTCAGCATTATGTCGCAACGCTAGCCAAACATTATTTCCAGGGCTCTGTCCTCATTTACGGTAACGTGAACATTGTGAACGGTGAACACAGCATGTATCCCCGAACGTCCGACTCGGAGCGCTTTAAGCTGCAAGATCTCGTCATCAGCAAAGATGTGGATTTGATTACAAAGTCTCGAAAGAGGCCAGAATGGAAAAGTCGTATAAATGTTTCAGAAACAATGGACAAGCATATTTGCAAGTGTTAACGAATCCCGTAAGCACAAAAGTGAGAATGTACAGTGGGTCAGTACATGGCTTTGAAGGATCACCTTGTTTGGGGACAGCCATGCTGGCCCATGCATTACTGTTGTTGTTGTTTGGATGGCGTGACCGCCATCCGACTTTGAAGGTTCATATCAATCATATGTTCGGTTCGGTGCATGTTATGAAGACAAAAATACCACCATTCGATTCAGTAAAAAAATATCTCCTAATTCCTAACGATGGTTTTAGTCGATATCAACATTGTAGCGATTTATGGCCTTTGAAAGTCAAGTGAGATCGTATAAGGCCACTACAAGTTAATCTTTAGTTTCTGGTCCGCCGCCCGCGTTCTTTCTCCGTAAAGTACTATTTCAGGACTATTTTGTTATTTACAATTAATTTCTAGTTCTTGAAAATTTCCGCGAAGGATTTAACGTATAGAACGATAAATATTCAATTTACACTAAAAAGACCTAGCAAAATGTAGTATTGAATGGTAAAAACCGCTGCCTTAACGATGTTACGAGGTAAAAAAACTAGAAATATTAATAGATCATTTTGATATGTAAAATCCTTTGTAATCTGTCATGCATGTCGATTTATAAATAATATAAATGCAATTTATGTAAAATTTCATAACATTTTGATACAATTAGCATGAAAAGGGACAAGAAGGACCACAAAAATGTGGGCAAAGCCACAATTGTAATTATGTCCTATAGTCCTAACCACCCGCCCGCCCGCGTCGTAAACGGAGATAAGGCCGGACCAGAAACTAAAGATTAACTTGTAGTGGCCTAATATCAAATTGCTATTGTATTTACATTTCAGTTCCGCCTCTGATCAGCGCTGAGCTAATTCCATCCAGAAATACAATTTTAAAATTTTAACAATGAGATACATGTATCTAAAGATGTTAGATGCGAAACCAGGATTCATATTAAGAGTTTCAAACGTTCACTGGTTAAAAATATTTATTTGAACGAGCTTTCGACTGCTAGTCTGCATCGTCGACGGGTAGATTAAAGTGAATGGTGTGATATTTACAGTGGTTTACAATTACAATATACAGTACCACGGTTAATATACGGACACAACAGACAATTATTGACAGTCCCGCCAACGTATATAGGATTACAGTCGATTTCACGAAACTTTGACCACAAGAGATTCACAAACCAGTTTGTAAAAAAATTGGCTCCTTCTACATCAGGGACCAACCAGGCTTTTTGTTTACAAATTGGCTTGTTAATTCCAATATGAACTTCCGAACTTCGCAACGAAGTTCGGAACATTTGTGGTCAAAGTTTCGTGAAATCGACTGTTATGACCATTTACATTGAAGAGAATTTAAGGTTTTTAGAGTTTTTTGAGCAGAAAGCGGTATTGCGATTCTGGCAAATATTTTGAGTTATTATCAGAGTTTTCAATGCATGCAGCATGCCAAGATTCTAATGTCGACATCAAAGAATTGAATCATAAATATCAAATTGGGGTCGTGGTCGACAAAGTGTTTTAACGCGACCACAAAAGGCTTCTTTGAAAACATTTATTGTTATGCATGCAGCGTGCCAAGATTCTAATGTTTAATTTTTATTAAGGCGAGTTAAAGTATGGCGAGTTCGTTGGGACGTTTTGCGAGCTGTTTATTAGTGTTTAGTATTGTTTACATGTCAGCCTGTCTGCGTGTAATTGAAAACATTCGGTTGCTTCGAGCAGTTTAACGCCCGAAATGGTTGAAATTTTCGCTGAACATAAATATTTATCATACAGGAAACCACATTGAGTGCGAACATGTAATTTGATGTCTCTTGCGCCTTGCCGGCGCTATTTTGTTGCTTCAAATCTGTTCTCAGTGGCGTCGCAATCGGCATTGCAGTGGATAGCTTCGAAGCGCCGAGATCTTATATAGCCTGCGCGCAGACTATATAATATATATGTGATTATATAGTCTGCGCGCAGGATACGAGATCTACAGATCGCCGCTTGTGAAAAAAGTATTTCCGACAACTCTATTCTCTTTGAGGAAACTAAAAATATACTATATATATATATATATATATATATATATATATATATATATATATATATATATATATATATATATATATATATATATATATATATATATATATATATATATATACTATATATATATATATATATATATATATATATATATATATATATATATATATATATATATATATATATATATATATATATATATATATATATATATATATATATATATATATATATATATATATATATATGTACATTCAATATTTGCTTTCAATAAGACATGGGATGGGCTCCCTGTGGTCAAACGTCGAATTTCTGCTTATTAGCTAGCCTTCTCCGACCTCCGCAGGCAACTCTTTGGCACAGAGTCTTTGGCAAAAATTGGAAAAAGAATTATGAATAACAGCGAATTTAAAGTTAGGGATTGTTAGGGATCAAATATTAGAATGTTAGGGTTTGTAATCCAAATGATTATATACATTTTAAGACCTGACCAGGAACGACTGCGAAAAATGCAGCACAAGGTCCTCTGGTAGGAATTGAACCTACGGCCCTGCGATTCCGGTGCAGGGCCGTAGGTTCAATTCCTACCAGAGGACCTTGTGCTGCATTTTTCGCAGTCGTTCCTGGTCAGGTCTTAAAATATATATAATCACTTGGATTACAAACCCTAACATTCTAATATTAATTCTAATATTAATTCCACCAAGTGAAGTGCAAGAAATCACATCATTTTAGGGATCAAACCCTATAATATTCACATTTTTGCCAATTTTTTATCAGTAATACTCTTGCCAATTTTTGCCAAAGAGTTGCCTACGGAGGAGGCTACTTATTAACTGTGCTGAGTGGTTATATAACCACTCAGCACAGCTAATAGGAATTAGTATAAACCTACTACTGTAGTAGGCTATTATGTATCATCCGTTCTGATTGGCTACACTACAAGTAGGCTATTAGTGATAGCCTACTAGTAGCAACAAGCGACGAAGGGCGCGAGAGTCAATGGCTATTCTTAAGTAATAAAAGCTGCATTTAAAGGGAAAAGCTTATCAAAAATGGCCTAATTTTGGTTCTGGATTACACACAAATAAAGACTCTTGGAAACTGCCGACACATGCGGTAAAATTTTTACCTTTTCTCAACTTTGTTCGTTGTTTTGAGCATGAACGTGCCAGGCGATTTTTTAAAATGTATGCACAATTAATGTAACACCACGTAAATTTACTACTGCAAAGCTTTCAACTCAGTCTCGTTGCCAACTCAGCCTCGTAGACAACTCAGCCTCGTTGTCTCTGAACGAATAGTCAACTCGGCTTCGCCTCGTTGACTATTCGCTCATAGACAACTCGGCTTCGCTGTCTAATATTGTTAAATAGTATGGAGAATGGCGCTGGCGCGCGTTTATAAATTGACGACGCCCATTGGTAGTCAACTCGCTCGTCTGTAACCGACTTAAAGACTCGTCCCCAATCCCCATGGTCATTGACCTTGCATTTGAGTTCAGCATTTCGGAGACCCCAACGAAACATGTGTCACGCAGATTGAATTTCATCTTCCTGTTTTGTTAGCCACAACAAAACGGCACACTTAGAATTCCGAAATAGCAGAAGGATTCTTCAGAAAACCTGATTGTTTTGTCGAATTTTGTGAAGCTCGCCACAGGTTCCAGTGTAGCTGTTTTCCGTGACGTGTTAAGTAAGTGAAAATTACTTGAAAATCGCACAAAGCTTACTACAATCTTTCAGAGTATATTATTTATTTAGTGTCTTGATGCCACGTATTGCGCAAATGTATTACTATATAATATCAGCATGACACTTTAGAAAACTTTCATATGAGAACGTACGAACAAAGCCGAAGTCATGTGTAAATTTGCCAATTTCATACGGTGAATGGTGATGGAGATGTGCGCAGATTTGTGCGGCTTTTCGCCCCCTCCTCCCCCATGCGAATGTGAAAGGTAATGATGCAACTTCAGTATCACAATTCCACATTTGTTCCGCGTCTGAAATATATAATACTTATATAATCAACATAAATACCAGTTTCGGTATATATGCTGATACATACATAACTGAAAATCGCAAGAAATAAGGAACGAGCTATTATTGCATAGCCCATTACTTTCAGAAATTGTCAGGACGTCTATATTTTGCAACTAGAGTCATAATTGCATGCATGCTTTGTCTTGCATATATACTAATAGCCATCATATAAGTAAAAATATCTTGATGATTAAATGAAAAGAACGAAGAATTTATTTTGCAAAGACTATTTATAAAATTAGCTCTAAAATTGGTGAGCTTTGTATTGGTGCAGAAAGGCATAATCAGAAAAATGGCGTTCGTCTCCAATCTCATTTAGATCAGAATGTTTACATACTCTATATCAACCATATGAAACATTATCGATCAGTTTCAACCGGTAATCTATGAGCTGGTATTCTTAACTTTGTAACAGCCTTTGACGATATTTGGAATTGTGGATTAAAGATATATAGATATTCCTAAATATGCCTTAGCGGTGCAAAGCCGAGGGAGCTCTGTAGACTGTAGTTATATTCGCCATCGATCAGTCTCTTTGTATTGCTATAAATATTTACAGTTTGTTCGGCAATTTTGCAAGGAGCAATTTTAAAAACTCACCCATACTCGATTGCTTGAAGCCCGATATCATCTTGTGTATTCTGACATAGATTAGATCCATTAGATTCGATCCTCTTGCAAACTTTTTATGTGGGCTAAATTAATACAACCGCCTACGAAAGACGAGACGACCATGCAGGGTGTCCCAAAAAACGAAAACCCGATTGAAATAACGCATTGTTAAAATTTGATTGCCCTAGCACTCTCTTGAACCCACAAGTGCATAAAAGCTTATACATAAGTAAATTGTATGCATAAGAAACGGTTTAAGAAGCTGCTTTAAATTCCCAAGAGCAGAAAATCGTGCGCTTTACAAAGATATGTTAATTTCTTAATAAGTCAAACATGTATATCATGTTTCGCTCGCTACTATGATTGATATACCTGGTTGCAGTGAACGAACAGACTTCAAAAAGTCAATATAATTTAAATTAATATATGCACCCTTGTCAATATTTTACGAATCATTGCGTTCAACTTAGTGCTAGGGCATTCAAATTTTAACAATACGTTATTTCAATGGTTTTGCGGGGTTTTTTGCGACACCCTATGTAAACAGAAGTGTTTGCTATGTGTTTTTGTCTGCAGAGTTTATGTTAATTTGTGCACGGTCATGCCATGATTGAGCTCAGGGTGCTCATAAGATACCAAAATAAAGTATGCTCATAACTTATTATTAAGCACGCTCATATATGTCCGATTCTCCAAGTCCAGCATTCTCATGATTATACAACATATACATGGTTACATGTACATGGTTATAACTTATAAGCTCAGCTGTGAATATAGAATAAAAGCACGTATCTTTCTCATGTGGTACGTCCTATTGCCGCCATTTTCAAATTTATAGAGAAAAGTAAATGTTAGCTTAGCACTCTACTTTATGTTTGCGACAAACATATAGAGCTGAGCTAACTTCCACGCGTGATGATTACTGACTCAGTCAAATCATAGTTATTTTAATAGATGGTTTGGAGACTCGATGAAAGTACAATATAACTCATTAACTATGTTATTGTCCAGCTTTATGCAAGAATTTGGTCCTATCTCGTCACGTGTGTATTGTATTTTCGCTCAAATAACCAATAACAAGTTTGTGGTTGAGTTATCCATCCGTAACTTGAACAAATGCTCAATTTAAACATTGCTATTGGTTGTGCGGGAAAAATACAATACACACGTGACGAGATAGGCCCAAATCTTGCATAAACCGAAACCAACATAGTTAATGAGTTATATTGTACTTTCATCGAGTCTCCAAACCATGCATTCTATTAGCTGTGGTCAAATGCATGCTCTCGTGTGCGGCAGGCTTGACTAATGTGTTTTCAAAAAAGAGCTTAGTACACAAACATCAAATAAGACTATCCAAACACAATTTCTTACCAACAAAGCCTAAACGAATTTCCTCGAGAAAGTCAATTAGTTACAGAGGTCTGGGAGTGATATTTCAAATCCGACTGTGAGGACCGGACTAGATTTCAAGTCCGCGCAAGGATCACGTCCGAGACAAAGCCGAGGACTGGATCAAAATGCGAGGAATTGACATCTAGGCAATTGCTAGATAGTATACTTCAAAATAAGATTTCTGTTTTTATTCTATTTTTAAAATAAGTTAGGGTTAGGTTAGGGTTTAGGTTAGGGTTAGGTTGGGGTTAGGGTTAGGTTTAGTATTAGGGTTAGGGTTTAGTTTTGCGTTAGGATAGTTTTTTCTACGTTATAAAAACGGAAACCTTGACATCTAGTCCAGTCCAAATTGGAGTATTTGAAATGACATCTCATACGAATAAATCACTACTTATTAATTAATTTTGATCGAGTCCAAGGACTGAATTAATTTTGATCCAGTCCTAGGATTGATCAATATACTACATCAGGTATCCAGTATTATCATGTGATCAAAATGAAGCGATATGGTTGGCTAATTCAATCATAAATTATTAATGAGTTTGAGGTGCTACCTTAAGAGCGCAACGACAGGTTTTCTCTCATGTGAGCAAAATAAAGGGATATGGTTGGCTAATTTACTCATGAATTATTAATGAATTTGAGATTAATCTATCCAACCGCGAAACCAAAAACTCGGCAACTATAAAATTTTTAGGAAGAGAATTAAGAACATATATAATATTTAAGTTGCGAATATTGTCATATATAATTGTAAAAGAAAGATTTGGTTTTAATCACAAAACATATTTCTACTTTCAGCTCTCAAATCGGTCAATTGTATAGAACACACGAGCATTAAAAATGGAGGGAAGTGACAAGAAGAAAGAAATAGAAGCGTACCTTAACTCCGGACGCTCCTATAAAGATAACTGTCAGTTTCAAAGGGCGATTGAAAATCTTCAAGAAGCTTTCAAATTGGCTGAGGAACTAAAAGACGAAAGGAAGGTAAACGAAGTAAATCTCGAGTTAGGAGATGCTTATGGCTTCAACTCTCAGATTGAACCGGCAATTGAATACTTCGAGAAAGCCTTGCAAAATGCAAGAAAACGAGCAGATAAGCAACAGGAGACGGACGCATTACTTGGGTTAGGACTTGTAAAATATGATATGAACAATCAGATTGAAACTGCAATTGAGCACTTTCAGAAAGCTTTGGTAATTGCAAGAGAGCAACCAGAAGATAGACAGCGAGAAACAAGGGCGTGCATTGGGTTAGGAGATACTTACAGACTGAACAATCAGATTCATAAAGCGATTCAACACTACGAGATAGCCTTAAAGATTGCAAACGACCGAGGAGATAAACAGCAGGAAATTAACGCGTACATTGCGTTGGGAAATGCTACTTATAGATTGAAAAATCAGGTTCAAAGGGCAATTGAATACTTTAAGAAAGCCTTGGAAATTGCAAAAGAACGAAAAGATAAGCATGGAGAAAGACGAGCGTACCTTGGGTTGGGAAATGCTCATATATTGAACAGTCAGATTCAAACGGCAATTCAATATTATGAACAAGCCTTGAAAAGTGCAAAAGTACAAGGAGATAAGCAGGGAGAATCAGAGGCATTACTCAGGTTAGGAAGTGCTTATGAAACGAACAGTGAGAATCAAACGGCAATTCGACATTATGAAGAAGCCTTGGAAATTGCAAACGAACGAAGATATAAACTTCTCAAGGATTTGGCAAGAAAGGCCATTGAACAACTGTCAAGAATCACAGGTAAGCTTAGGTGAACACCCTTTCACTTTGAGTATCAGGTTGTTAAGGTTGTAGTCATTGATATGCGTTAGGACCACTGTTCTGATAGATCATGCAGGGATTAAACTCGTATCTATCAGGGCGGTGCAGCAAGCGCGCGAAATGCGGAAGTAGCCTGGGGCGTGCACTTTTTGGTTCACCGAAAAGAAAGCAAATTTTGATAAATGTCTAGTTCTTGTGCAACTTTTTAATATCAACCTTTTTGCGTGAATACGAACCAACTCGATATTTATTTACAATATATCACTCTTAGTTTTGAATTATTTTGATTTGGCAAAAATGAAGCTGTCAAAGAGGATTCACTATTGATAATGCGCGTGTATTTTATTTTATTATATAGTAGAGAGTGAGATACTGAAAAATACACAGTGACATATTTTCCATATCTTCACTAGTTTAAGATATTGATCACATGACTTTTGGTATTAATACAATTTTTTGCTTGGGACTATATAATAAACAGAACATTACACGGTGGCTTAAAGATATTACCTTTATCTTCTCGTGTTAAAAACAATATTAGATAGCTTAAGATCTACGACGTCGACGTCAGCTAGGACGTCAGGGCTATGCAGGGGACTGGGACTAGGATGTCGTCCTAATGTAGTCCCAGTCCTCTGCTTAGCCCTGACGTCCTAGCTGACGTCGACGTCGTAGATCTTAAGCTATCTATTTTACCACTCGAAGATAAAAGTCATATCTTCGCGCCGCCGTGTAATATCCTCTGTATCACACGATCGCATGTTTCTTTTGACACACACACAGTGGCATAGCCAGTCTGATGATTCAGTCCGGCTACGCAAATATTGCCAAGTTTTTAGACTATCAACACAATCAATTTCTAAAGAAATAAATATAAATGATCAGTTGAAGTTTGCATAGCGGTACCAAATCGTCGGGCTGGTTACGCCACTGCACACACATGATCCAGGATTAAGCTGGATATTTTAGATGACTAAAGAAGGTTGCCTTTTGATTCATTTATACTTAAAACCAGAAAAGGGAACCAGAAAACATGTCTGATGTTAAAAGTGTTTGCCGTGAACGAATGAACTTTAAACCTTAAATATGTTTTCATATATTGTACGTGTCCATTGACAGCTGCATTTGAGAGTGTGATAAACTGTATTTTTAATATGCTTGTGTGGTGTTACTCTGAGTGTATCCACACCGGGCAGGCTTGAAAAATATGCCTGGCCACATGACCAGGCATATTTTTCAAGCCTGCCCGGTGTGGATATACACTCAGAGTAACACCACACAAGCATCTTATTCACCTGAGTACATTACACCAACACAGCAAATTTTATATTGTTAATCTTTAGATTTAGATACACATCATGATAACAGCAAAGATCTTCAAACATCCAATACATCAGATAGCGCTCAAATGCACGACACTGCTGATAATGAAGAGCAAGAAGACATCGAAAGTGAAAATACCAGTGAAGAAACAAGAATTTCAGCAGAGCAGTTATTGATCCAGGGACGTTCTTACCAAAAAGAAGGCAAAACCGAAGAGGCCACGAGTAGCTACGAAGAAGCATTTAAAATTGCGGATGAAACAGATCGTGATGACATGAAAGCGAAAGCTTATCAACATTTAGGAAACCTATTTACTGAAATTTTCGAATATAAGAAAGCGATTGAGTATTATCGGAAAGCACGTGAAATATATCCAGAGCTCGAGGAGGATGAGTTGGAAGTAGAAGCACATCAATGGTTGGGTGACAACTACCTGCAAGCTGGTCTGTACAAAGAATCCATTGAGTATTACAAGGAAGCCGCAAGACATGCCTCGCAGCTGGAGGACAAGAATCAGAAAATTAACGCTAACTTGGGTTTAGTGAAAGCTCACATGAAGTTAGGACATGTAAACAGTGAGAGTGGTTTGCTTGATGCAGCTGTTACATCCTATCTCGAGGCTCAAGAAATTGCTGCTGATCTTGGTCAGATCAAAGAAGAAGCCAGCGCCTGTCTTATGCTCGGCAAGACCTTCGAAGAATTAAAGCAAGAGGATAAAGCAATAGAATTCTATTATAAAGCCCTAGTGATTAATAAAGAATTGAAAGATGAAGAGACGCAAGTGACCGCTGAAAAGAGATTAGGAATTTTGTGTTTAAAATTGGCATCCGATTGTAGTGAAGATTGTGATTATGAGGGAGCGGTAAAATGGTACGAAAAGATGTTAAATGTTTTTGGAACAGAGTCCAACAATCAGCTCCTGCGGAAAAAGGCCCTTACTGGTTTGGGAGTTGCCTGGTTTCATCTTGGGTATACTGAAAAGGCGATTGATTCAATTCAAGGAGCTCAAAAGTTTTCGAAAAAGGAAACAAGCAAAGGTATTTATTTCATGTGAACTTTGAGAACATATTTAGGATGAGAGACCAGGACATATTTTTATTCAAATATGTCCCCGGTCTAAATGTTTAAACTTGTCAAGGTTTTGCCTTAACTTGTTCCAGTTTATGGCAAAACTGAAGACTGGAGTTAACTGCGAGGACATGGAATATGCTCCAGTCCGAATTTGATGTTTTGAAATGACATCCCATCCTCATAAGCTAGCTTTAGCTAATGAATGTTGATCATGCATAAATTATACTGTGCGCTAATTAAACATTCAGTTTATTCTGCCAAGACAAACCTTTCCTAAATTGAAAATCAATGAATCGATTTGTCCTTCAATCCTTGGGCAATGTCCATTATCGTGGAAAGACGGATGAAAACATGTAACCCGAGACCTTTAGGTTGCAGTTAAGTTAATAAAATATTTTGTAGATTCTGTAGATGGTGAAGACGTTAAAATTCCGCAAGAGTACAAAAGTTTGGTGGCGGAGAGAGTTTCGTCTTCGCCAATACCAGGTGAATAATTATAATCACTTAAGCTAATTTTTTACTATTTACACACATTCGAGAAGAACGTATGCATTGACAATCATCAAATTTTGTTAAACAGTTACAGTATATTCATATACGAATGAGACACTTATGTGCTATTTAAAATACGAGCAGCAATGTTTTATCAGATATAAAGATACGACGCAAAGCCGAGTATCTTTAGGTCTGATAAAACATGCACTGCATGCATCTAGTAAGTTCATTGGCGAAGTAATTTTCAAAAACTACGTTGTGTAAGTCGAGAAAATCAAAGTTAAAGTTTATGTAAATCAAGGCAACTCTATCACATATAAAGATACGACACGCTCATGAGTTTTCTTTGTGAATTAATACTACATGAATTATTGAAGTACTAGTCAGTAAAACATGAGCAGCTGATTTTTATCTGATATACAAACTCGAGCCGAAGGCGAGAGTTTGTATATCAGATAAAGATCAGATGAGAATGTTTTAACGTGCTTAAAAAACGATGTAAATCAGGACAAATCTTTATCCGATTTACAAACATTGATTAAACATTCATTTCTTTTGTATTTTTTTCATGAATTATTTATGAGTTTTTTAATGACTAATGTTATTCAAAATATGTTTTAGCGGAGTGGTTGAAATCATTTGAGGAAACCTGCAACCCAACCAATACAGAATGGTTACCAAATGAAGACTTGGCTAGCTTGGAAAAACACATCGAAGAATTTTCCGCTTCCATTGTGTATACTCTTCCGCCATCAAGTGAGGAGCCCTTGACGGAGAAAGTTCGCAAATCCATGACAGCAAATGTTAAATCGTCAGCTTGCAAAACTCTGTTGAGCCGAAATAGAGATAAATTCGGTAAAAATGATGGGAAATTTGTGGACGATGATCAACAAATTTTGGACATTGCAAGAGATGACTTATCGAAGAATGCTGCAACTAAAATTCCTGCAAGATTGTTAGAAACTTTGAGTACTTACATGAAATCTGTTGGTCAAATTTCATGTGGAAGAATTCGAGGAACGTGTTTCCTCGTGACTGACAAGTTTGTGATAACTAACCATCATGTTGTTAGCATGATTAACGCGGAACGAATCGAAGTTGGAGATCACAGCTTGCCCATAATAGTTTCATTTGATTATTTTTATGCTCAACAAAGAGAACATGTTGTCACTGTAGAAGTTGATGAAGAACACGATCCTCAATGTGGGAATCCAAACTTGGATTATAAATTTTTATGTTTAGAAGAAAATGAAGGTCTTAAAGGTCGCGTTCCACTTGGTGAAATGGTACGAAGTCGTCCGTTACAAGACGGTTTGGTTATTATCTTGGGTCATCCAGAAGGAAACGAAATGCACGAAGAAACATGTGTCGTGGTAGCCAGTCACTCTTGGCGTGAGAAATTGGCACAAAGGCATGAGAAAATTCAGCCAAGCCAAAGAGATGACGGAGTTTCTGTCAGTTTGCACATGACCAACGACGATTTACTACGAAGGTATCATGACCGTCTTCCTTATGATACAAGTCTATTTCATGGTTCTAGTGGCTCTCCCGTTTTTGATGTGAATGGAAACATCGTCGCGATGCACACGCAAGGATACACGCTGGACGTTGAGGGAAGAAGATGTTGTTCTTTGATGGAGTTCGGTGTCCAGTTCAGTGCAATATGCGAAGACTTGAGAAAACTTAACGTCGTTGAGCAATTGTTTCCAAACTACAAGTTGGGTATTGATGAACAACGAATGGATGAAGATTGATTGTACTAGCCGTACAAGACGGTAAAAGGACTGACTCACTAAAAGCCAATATGATATTCAGTATATAGCAGTAGAAAATCTAAGTAGCAATATATATGACTAAATATTTGAGTAAGTTTTTGATTAACAATTTCCAAAGTGATTTATGACGACAACTACTTCAGTTTTATTCATTTATTTACTTTTGTACAGTACTACACAATAATGTTATGTTGAAATATCACAATCTTTTGTGCAGTACTACATACACAATGATATTACAGTATGTTGAATTGATTTAATCATGTACAGTATATTTTGATAGTTAAACTTGATCAATTTATAATTATCTATAAAGTAGAATAATTTAGATACACGTCTACTTGTTTCGATAATAAACTATTATAGATCAGATATTACTGGAGGTAGATGGTTAAAAATTTTCAAAATGATGAATGAACGCAGCTCCTTCAGTTTTATTTAACTCTGTACACGCACTTTCAACACCCTTCGTCATCGAAGGGGGACCACAGCTGAACACGCCGATTTTTGAAGCCTGAACAAGAAATATATATCGTATATAAACATTACCGTCGGTATACTTTATTTCAAACACGGCTTTAAAGCTTTTGATGGAGGAGCTTGTTCCCACTACAATTTTGCAGAGAAGTATTTAACTGAGAACGTTGTAGTTGATGCAACTCATGGTTTATTCTATGGAAAATTTAGAACTGCACATACAAGTGCCGAAAAATTTTTTTCTGGAACAAATTAATTTTGGCGACCTCCCCCCCCCAAAAAAAATAAATTTCGGTCAGTGTACTATTTTAGGGGTCCAAAAATTTTTCGTGCATACCAAAATTTTCCGGAACATCAAACAAAGTTTCCACAAATCACAAAATTGACCACAAAATTGACACAATTCCCCACAAAATATAATTGACAGAATTTGTCCCATTTATTTTTTTAATACTGGCATATTGTATTGGAGCATCTCAGCATCCACAAGGAAAACGAGTAAATGAGAAGACTGTTTTGGGGTTAGATTTTCGTTAATTTGGTTACTGCACATTTGAATTTTAAGAACTGCACAAATGGGTTTAGAACTGCACATTTTGTGTAGAACTGCACGTTAAAATAAACCCTGATGTAACTTCCTCAATAATACAAAGAGAACGTTAAGCTTTCGAGCGAAGGCCTTTCGTCTAGAAGTTAGTAGTTTACTTGGCTACTATACAGCTAATTCAATTAAGGTTGTCCTTCCAAAATCGTAAACCTTAAATTCTGAGCCCTCAAAGGATGATGGGTTATTGCTTATTTAGACTCGTAGACTTTGAAATTTGGCTTTGCAAGAATACCTAAGACATATAGAAGACTCACGACAGCAAACATACTTGCTGCAAAGGCAATTCTCTGAGTTTGAGGGCCTAATAGGTGAAAATCCATCATCCCTTGCGCTCTCAGAGTTTAAGATTTAAGGTTTGGGAAGGACAACCACAATTGAATCAGCTGTATAACAATTTCGAGACAAACGGATTTTTGTGATTTTGACGAAGTTTCTACAGTTTTTTCAGTTTGTGTAGCCTTCGCTGCATATTTGGCAATGATAATGCATTTTTTATAAAAATATTAAGCTTAATGTTTTTATTTAATATTACGCTTACCCACGGATGGGTGGTTGTCGAGAGAGACTGTAAGAATGGCAGAAAATCGGGTCGGCCAAAGTGAGTTGTAGAGCGCAATCCGGTTAACAATGACTTGCCGGACATCTTTTGAAAATGGCGTTCACAAATATACTGGAACAAAAAATAAAGAAATGAATCGTAATGTATAAAATTTTACATGTGTATTTTTATAATGTGAATTATTATATAATTCCTGCTTACCAACATTGTCGTTCTCAAATCAAACTCACGATAGAACTGAGTGACAAAAATATGAACACTGACAAGATCATTTGAATCTTTTTCTTCCACCTCCCGTATGATGTCTGTCAACCATTCAAAGTGCTTTTGACTTCTTGTAACCCACAAGAAATACACCTAAACGTCAAGTTTAAAATCAAAGTAATTGGCGTGTTTCCAGGCGAAATTGATAATCACACTTTGTTTTAGAACCAGTCGAAAGTCTTATCCTATACATTTCCTATCAACCCAGAGACAGAATTTCTGGAAACACTCCAGACATATTTTTGAATTCGGATACCTTTTTACAAGAGAATGTGGACTTCAACGTTCCTTTGTGGGCGATATCTTTCAAAATTGAAGCAAAAGGAGTGACTCCAATTCCTCCTCCCACCAACACTGACACTTCATAACGACACCAGTCTTGATGGCCTTCACCAAATGGTCCATCCACGTACAACTAATATAATTGTACAGCAATAGTGACAAAAATACATTAGTGACTGGTGATTCCTAAATTATGTGTAAGTAAAGTGTGCGCAAATCATCCTTAAGGCCCTGTCACACTATTGCGTTCGTACTAGCGTATGCCAGCGTATGAAAAATATCACTCATATGCCGGTATACGCTGGCATACGCTAGGGGTACGTTAGGCGTAGGTTGTATACGTTTCAAGCACGGTCGCGTACGGTGGCATACTCTGACATACGGCGAGGCAGAAATTTTCTTTAAGCATGTTCAAAAATTTTGTGCGTATCGGACGTATGCTTTATACGATAAGCATACTCTAGGCACAAGCTGAATACGCTAGAGGTACGCCAGATGTACGGTACTCATACGCTGGCATTTCAAAGGATTTTTGTGCGTATGAAAATTATTTCATTAATATTCATACGCTTCTCATTCCTTTTCTCTCATACGCAATAGTGTGACAGGGCCTTTACTTGCATTTGAGAGCTTAACCTTATCGAGTCAAAGGCTTACTAAGGGCCCCTCTGTCAGCCTCTTTATGACCCGTGAGTACACTTACGGTGGAAGGGTCAGTTAGGGGGTTATCCCACCCACCCTGTCAACATTTCCTCCTGTGGAACGAAGCTTCAGTACCCAGACAAAACTGACGAGTTTCGGTAGAGCGTCGACTGACTCATTTTACATAAGTGTCATGTGTCCGTAGTGTAAATCGAACAATATGACCTCAGAGGTGAAAGGTGCTTGCTTTGACGATTGTGCCACCGAAACCCATCATTCCTGGGGCAGTTAGCTGCCACTCTTTAATAATGCCTTCTCTAAATGTTCATCTCTAATTAAATGTGGATATGACTACGTTTATATATTTCGAAAACCGGTATACAGCAAGCTGGCCAAAAATACGAGGTTTACTAATAAAGATGGATTGGATTTCCTCAACGAATAGTATCCAAATATTACTAACAAAAACTAGAGAATAAAGTCGGTTGGCAAAAATTAAAATGAATCTCCAACCTGCGGGTATGCAGATTTTTCCAAATTAGCTCTCTCGTATATCTGGCGTAAGTTGATAGTCCAGGGTCCCACAGCTCTGATATGGAGGCTGAGGTTGTCCTCGTGTGGGGCTGAGGTGAGGGTGAAGGGGTGGTACTCCCCAGGCCCCAGACCCTGGCAGGCGATACGGCACCATTGTCCAGCTTTGTACTCAAAATTCGAAGGTCGTTTAAATTCTAAATTGGTGATGTCTGCAGAAAGAAAAATAAGGTATTTAAAGTTAGGCCACCCCACCTAATATAGACGAAATATTTCTGCATTTCTACATTCATGTGCGATCGTTTTCATCCTCCCCCCCCCCGTTCATTCCGTGTGCCCAGACCTCAAATTTAGCATGAGTGAGATTCTCAGAGTTCTCGCCTTGAAATCTGGCAAGTTGTGGTTGACCTACTGTTGAGTATGGATTTTGAACAAATCTCTTGAAGTCCTTTAACAATTGTCGTACTCGTAGTCAAACTAAACCTCATTACTACCATTTTCGACTGAGCTTCCGTGAAGCGTGCCATTTGTAACTAGGTTTTAAAACTTTCTTCCGGCAGAGTTTGTCAATCAAAACTATTTGTTTGGCGGGTAATACTTTTGTAGGCGTGGCGTCAAACAAATTGTTTTGAACACTTAAACTTTACTGTTTTCACACGACACTTTATATTTTTAAAATGGTAATGACTAAAGTGACATAATTAAAAACATAAACGACGGTAAAAGTAAATCAGAAAGATAAACTCCAGGATTGTAGCACCTTCCAAACTTATTTACAGCAATCATTTCTTTTTAATCTTGAAGCCATAACAGTAAAGTTTCGTGTTCAAAACAATTTGTTTGACGCCACGCCTACAAAAGTTATTACCCGCCAAACAAATAGTTTTGATTGACAAACTCTGCCGGAAGTAACGTTTTAAAGGGTCATCATAAACCACAATGCAATGTGCGCATTTTTAGTTACTTTCCTCAATAGTTGCAGCCATTTTCGAGGCCACAAAAATGGCTGCCTCTGGCCCACAACCAGTGGTGTCAAGTAACAAAGTAAATGTACTTCGTTACTGTACTTTAATACTATTTTTGAGAAGCCAGCATGTAACAAAGTAAACTTGGAACGAAGTCGTTTTAAGAAGTAACGTTTTACTTCGTTATTTTCATTTTGTGGCGAAGTATTTCATTACTTTCTCATATTTGTTTAATTTTACGTGATTTATTCCAGATTTATTTTAATTTGGGGACAGGTAATAGGACCTCTACATTCGTCTGGGATCTCTCGTTTGTAGCTTACTTAACTTCAACGGGGTGTGGAAAGTAGACTATGCCGTGAAATATTGTATATTATGGTGCGCACGCATATAATGCGTGTGCTGTTTTGTGTCTTTTAATAAATTTGTATGTCAATCCATTGGAGAATCTACCCCCCCCCTACACGCTATAGACAATAGTACTTTTATTCTGTATTTCAAGTATTTTTTATGGATACTTTGTACTTTTTACTTAAATACGTTTTGCCTCCGGCACTTTTTACTCTTACTCAAGTCGTTTTATTGTTAATTACTTCTACTAAAACTCGAGTACAAATTCAAAGTAATTTAGGCACCACTGCCCACAACGTAACAGAAACGTGGACAACGCACGCATTGCATTGTGGTTGATCATGACCCTTTAAAACCTAGTTATAAATGCATGCTTCACGGAAGCTCGAAAATGGTAATATTGCTTACCGGAGGGCAAGAGTTCCGCTTTAATTACGGCAATGTCCGATTTCTTCCTCGACATACTGACCAGCTTATCCAACGTGAATAATATAGCTGGTCCAAGGAAGAAGTAATGGAAGGAAGGGCTTTGTATGAGATTACCACTGCCGTGAAGGATGTTGAGAATGTACATTACAATATATAGTTGATGCGTTGTCCAGAATGTCTTGAAACAATGGCGCCTCGAGTACTGAGTTGCAAAGACATACATGACTGCAACGACAAGGACTAAGAATACGCCAGTTATACCTGAAATGATACCGAAGTTGATACAGTATTAAGTGATATAGAAGATTGCATGATAGGTATTAATATCTAATCATAGGCGTACGGGAGGAAAAAAATTAGGGGGACAAAAATTTTCCTTCATAAAATTTTAATTCCCCTCAATTCCTGCTACGAGGGGGGATGAGGGTCGACGTTTCTTTTCATCATTTGTCTCACTTTTAAGTAGATAAATCTGTCAGATTTTTAAGTAGAATCAACGACCCAGACCGTTATTAAAGCCTCGGTCAAACGAAGATGAGACATGAGGGTTGCCACTCTCGCTCGCGATTGGCCGCAACAACCCTCAGGATATGCTCTCTCTCATCAACTTTGAGCATGTCCAAATTTGAAGAAGAGTTGACGAGATATATTTGTGGCGGGCGGGCTGGCCCTCTATTAGTTTGACAAAATGTGACCATCTTTTGTTGCTTGAAATCTTAGTTTCTAAAATAATTTTGCATTAAATTTTATGGAACGTGGCACTCTTAGTATTAACTCATTATCATTCTACCATTATCATTAAAAATTAACACGTATACAATAAGAATTGGTAACCTAATTTTCGTATGCCATATGGTCGCACAATATACATTACCAGCTACAGTCTCCCAGCACCAATAGTGAAAGGTTGGTAATTCGTGAGACCTAAAAATTACAGAAGTTTCTTTACCCAAAAGGTTTATTAAGCCGGTTACAGACGAGCAAGTTTTCTATGACAAGTTTTTATGTGACAACTTTTATTTGCCAAGTGTACGTGTGTATATGCAACAAATTTTATATGACAGGTTTTATTTACTGGTGTGAACGTGTCAACAAGTTTACTTTGACAATTTATTAGTGGCCAACTGGCCAATCACATCAAACGCTCGGATTACTTTGAACAGACGAACAAAATTTGTAGTTTGACAATTTTTCTATGACAAGTGCACTTGTTCAAAAGCTAGCATGCAAGCTTTTGAACAAGTGCACTTGTCATAGAAAAAATTGTCAAAGTTGCGCGTACAGACGAGCTAGCAAATAAACTTGTCGTATAAAAACTTGTCATAGAAAACTTGCTCGTCTGTATTCGGCTTTAATTGGAACTTGTTGTTCAAAGCTAGCTGGATTTTAGTTCATGTATTTCTAACATTTTTAATTTTTGTCTTAAAACTTCAGAGTAGAAAACTCCTAATTGATCCAGACAAGATTTCTAAAGAAATATTTCCAAATTTAATTTATTGAAACAAGCTGTTCGGAACTTTGCTTTGAATTTTAGGTTAACCCCCAGATTTTTTCGGTAATTATATTATAAATGAACGCAATTTTAAAATCGAATTTTTAAAGTCAACATTCGATTACATAAAACGCATTTAAAGTGAAATTGGCAATGAAAATTAAGTTGAACAGAACCGATGCCCAGAACGGACTTGACTTCCACTTTAATATTATACTGCCATTTCCCTTTAATATAGTGAAATATGAAAAAGTACTACATACCTTCGAAAATTGTTGCTGAACAGGCACAGTAAATCATTCGCAGGCTGAGTACTGATGTGGTAAAAATTGAGTGCATGTCCGACGCTATGTATTACTAAAGACAAAAAATGATCAGAATAGGCGTAACACTAAAATGAAAAAGCAACAAATTTAGCTATATACGCGATCTTGGGTTTGAAGCTAGGTGTGATGCGTCATCATGAGTTTTGTTATTGGCCAGGGACCGGTTGTATAAAACTCTTAATCACTTTTTCAGTAATTACTATTTTGTAGCAAAATAGTGATTAATTAACTCTCAAATACGCACTTCTTATTGGATGACATTTCCACTAACTATAGTTAAATTTAATCACTTTTTTATACAACCGCGGCCCCATGCTTTATATTGAAATGGAGAAAGTTCGACTTCTTCCAGGAAAATCTCTCTTGGATAAATTCAAGTAACTTCAAGAAAGGCAAACGATTATACCCGTGAAAATAAGCGCCCATATTGCAACATATTTATGAAACGCGATGATGGAATCAAATGGAACATAATGACCAACAAATGTTTCTCTGAGGAACGTGATAAAGTTACGACACATGGTAACCAATAGCGACGAAAATGTAAACATCATTGCACTCGCAGCACAACGTGATACCATTACACCATGTCCTGCTATCCGTCGTAATCCATTGTGTTCGCGTTCTACTGAATAGTCTACAGAAATAAACATAAGATTATTAATTTTTGATAATTACGTCCCAATTTCCTCCGCGACTCTTGAGCGCGTTGTCAACTATCTACACCTGAGCTAAAGTAAATGGCAGAACGATGATGGACTACATACAATAAGCGTTTTCGGCGAAAATAGCGAACAGCACCAAAGTGTACAGAACAGTGATAAATATTTCCGAGATGTGATTTGAAACATAATTCTGAATTCGAATCCAATGTTTTCGTACGACACGCTGTTCGTCCAATGACTTCTGTATCCTTACTTTCACTTTCGGTTTCACGTTGCCGCTGGAGGGAATGTAATTAAGAAAAATATAAGTAAAGAAGGGACGATACAAGACAAGACAAGACAGGACAGGACAGGACAGGACAGGACAGGACAGGACAGGACTGGACTGGACTGGACTGGACTGGACTGGACTGGACTGGACTGGACTGGACTGGACTGGACTGGACTGGAGGACAAGACAAGACAAGACAAGACAAGACAAGACAAGACAAGACAAGACAAGACAAGACAAGACAAGACAAGACAAGACAAGACAAGACAAGACAAGACGGGACAGGACAGGACGAGACGAAACGAGACAAGACAAAACAAGACAAGACAAGACGAGACAGGACAGGACAAGACAGGACACGACACGACACGACGAGACGGGACCGGACAGGACAAGACAAGGCAATGGAAGGTTGGGCAAAGCAAGACAATGGAAGGCAAGGTTCTCGCCTCGCCCTCTGCATGATTGGTGCATGACTGTTGCTCTGACCTGAAAGGTTTCATCATACTTTTCTTTGCTCGGCTTAGAGCATTAGCTTTCTTCTTTGCTGTTTTTGGAAGATCCTTTACATCCACTAAAGTTCCTCTGCGTACCTCCAGGCCCGTACCTAACAGGGAAAATATGCATTTTCACAAACGATTTACCCTCTATACGCTGTGCGGAAATGACCGAGAGGGTCGGATAAATTACTGTTCCGTCATTATTCGAAAATATAAAAATGAAACAATTAACTTCTGTAAGGTTAATTCATATCAAATTAAAATATATATTTCCTCATAAGAATCGCTGTGCTATAATCATAGATATCTTATATACACTATATAGCGCATCTCTTTTAGTAAAATTGAAGCCAAGAATATTCCAGCGGTTACCCCCATTTGAATAGATGGCGGCCATGTTGGTAATTCCCACTCGCTAATAAACGCTTAAAAAACAACAATAACTTTCACCATTTG